CCCCTAAACCCTACCGTCCGACCAAAACTAAAACTTAATTAGTACGACTACTTCGTTTTACCGTTAACCCTAACCAACTAACTTTACTTACTCCTCCTCTCTCTCTCTCTCTCTCTCTCTCTCTGATGTTACCAAGAATAACAGATTTCAAACTAATGATGGAAATTCTACGGGGGAGGGTGAAATCAGAAAGAAAGTTAAGTGAAAATGGCAGGTCTCATCCTTGGCAGGGAGTTATTGATCCATACACAATTGTTCTCGAAGTGCAAACACAACCATTCATTACTTTGAAATCCATTTCATTGAGGCGTTAAATTTGTATATGAAGGCCTTCCTCCCTCTGCCTTTTCCTTTGCAGCCGCAACCTTCCCTTGGCAGAGAGAGAGAGAGAGAGATGCAATTTCGGAAGGGGATGGGCCGATTGAAGGGGTGGATTTTCAGTTAGAGCCTGATGAAATCTCACAATAGGATGGTCACCACTGAATGGAAAAATGAAAATTATATTTGGGACGAAAGTGGTAAAAATTTGAATAACCTTAAGATGAGGGAAACTGGGCAGTACTCGGAAAACCTTAAATGGCGATGCCACTTGCAGATTAGGAAAACAGCATCAATTGAACATCGAAATTTACTATGACCATGTATCCGAAGTCAGATCACTGTCAGTGGATCGCTAGAAATTTAAGCCCACCATTCAGCATGTTTACTTGCATTTTCCGTAGGTGGAGAACATTAAAACATAAAAAGTCTTGCAGCGTAGATGTTTAGATTCACGATTTAAGATGTGGACAATTGAAGGGTAGGAAGGCTAAGCAAAAGTGCATTTTGCATGGTATACGTCCCATGGACATGCATTAAGCATGAACTAATGGGCACATGGGTTCTTTCCCATGCACCACATCTATAGTTCTCAATTTTGGATTGAGGTCAAAGTGGTAGCCCCACTTCTCGTGCTATCGCTCTTGGTTTCCATTCCTATCAATGCTAACTCATTTTGAAAACTACTAACATTTTTAACTAACCCACTATTAACAATTAATGTTACAAAAAAAAAAAAAAATATAACCATGTTAAAAGAAGACGCTGACATGACAATGTCCTTAAGCGAGTAAAGATCTAAAGATCTAATTAGTTGAAAATTTAATAGGGCTTAGGCACATTTGGGTATGCACATATTAATAGTGAATTCATCCTTCCAAAAATTTATCTTGGAAGAAAATTTCATTATCATCTAAATCACCACAATCATGAAAATGAAGAAAACAATCTTGGACCATGCATTTCAACTTCAATTCATGGATCTGGAAATAGATTTGCAATGATTTACAAATCCTATTCTTTTGGCTACAAGAAGGGAATTATCACAATGCAAAAGTATTCTAAATAGTTACATCAATTTGGTAGAAACAGTAACAACGCTGATCATTAGATGGAGTAAGGACATTACAAGTTCACAACTGCTGTTGTGAAACCATCTGGAACCTTGGTCTATTAAATATCAATACAATCAGGCCCATCTCTCTCTCTCTCACACACACACACAAGCAGGCCCACGTGCAGGCTATCATACAAGGAAGCCATGAGTTTGGAATACGCCAACTTGGGCCATATCCCATCAGCCTTTTCCACTGTCATATATGCATGAATCAAGCTCATGAATCAAGCTCCATACAATACCACCACCCCAGGCCACCAAGATGCAAAACCTCCTAAACAAAACCACTTCAACACAGAGGAACAAAGTGACCATTGTGTCACAATGCCGATAAAAACAATGTGTGCGCCTCAGACCTCTCTCCATCCATACCAACATGAAATCACCAAATCAGTCAAACTAAAACCATTGAACCCAACTTCGTCTTTTCCTAACTGAAACACTGCTTTGGCTGGGTGGGGTTAGAGTGATTCTATCCGCATTGGAAGCAGCCCACCTTGAGAAGTCTGGTGAAGAAACCAACTCTTTTAAAGCTTGACTAGTTGAATCTCTTGTAAATATATCCCATTCCTCCTTTGTAAATCTCTTCCTTTCAGGTGTAGTGTGAAATGTGGAGTAGTAAGTATCGGGAGTTTTAGGATTACTGGGTAGAGTCCTAGCAGTGCTTGAATAAGTCCCTGTTTCAGAAAACAACAAGATCATTAAGGAAACAATAGAAAAGGGAAATTATCAATGAAAGAGAATAAGAGGCAATTGTACAATGAATGCCTTTGATCATCGTATCATTTTTTAGCATTTGAAAGACCATATCTCTTATAAAATTTTGTGCTCGAAAAGTATACAAAAGTTGAAAAATAGTAGCCACTGAAAAAAAGGGACTTCAAAGACACTATAAATCTCCATCAAAGTTGAAAAATAGTGGCCACTGAAAAGAAAGGGACTTCAACGACACTATAAATCTCCATCAATAAGTGGTATAAGGATTGTGGATGTATTCTCAAATCATATATATGGGGTGCTCACACTATAGAGTAGTTTATAATTGTACTCAACAAATTTGGGACATTTATATACCTTTGTTTTGTACATGGAGCATTTTTTTGGTAAGGGTATTTTTTATCGCTAGGATGGGTTTAACATCATTCACATGGGTGTGACATCAACCACATAGATCACACTAGTGACATTTAATGCTCCATGTGGGTGATGTCAAACCCTATGTGGATGATGTCACACCCTATGTGGATGATGTCACACCCCTCCTAATGACCAAAAATACCCTTATTGAAAAAATATTCTATGTACAAAACAAGAGTATATAAGCGTCCAAAATTTGTTTAGTACAATTATAAACTACTCTATAGTGTGAGCACCCTAGCATAACCCATATATATTGTCAGCCCACAAGCTGACTGCTACAGTGTCAGCCAATGCCCCAGATTCAATCTGAGCTGATCTGATGGTTACAATCTCATTTCATATTTGAATTTTCATTTTTTTTTCTACAAATCCAAATCACTTGAAATTTTAGACGTTCATTCTTATCATCAAGGC